GTGTTGGGTGCACTTCCCACTCTCCTCCAAAGGGCACCCGCTTGCCTCTCCGCCCCGTTGACTCTCAGCGTGTCTGGTCGCTCTTCTGTCACGCAGCAAGTAGTAATATTCAGAAGCACGTATGTGGCTTCAGAAATCAATGTCAAAAGCCTTAGGCTGTTGCCCGGTAAACAGCTCCGTGCGAAGAGCGTGCTTCTACTTTTTAGAATTCTAAAAATACCTATTAATTCCCTTTGTAAATGTGACCTCAGCTGCAGCTGAGCGAAGAGCGTGCTTCTACTTTTTAGAATTCTAAAAATACCTATTAATTCCCTTTGTAAATGTGACCTCAGCTGCAGCTGTCACCAAGAAACAGTAAACAGTTCATTGTCTCCTGATGCAGATATAAAATGTGCATTGAATCCTTGGTTCTACTTCAGTCCTCACGTGTACTTCAACTGAGGAGACTTTAGGAGAGGTCTCGGGAGAGTAGCTAATAGTAACATCAGCTAAAATATTGCCAGTATTTATGCTTTTACTACTTGGTTTATCTTGCAGTTGCACTTCAAGGCTTCCACTGATGTAAATCTCTGTTGTGCCAGGCAAGTTATTGGTCTGTGCAGCAGACTTGTTGAACTGTATTATACCCTAACTCCCTCAGGGAGTATGGAAATGTCGTGAGGAGCATGAGGGCAAAAGTACGCTTGATTTTCCAATGCTTGTCTAATCTTTTATTGGACTACATCAGAATGGGTCTTAAAAATGATCTGAAATGAGGAGAGGATGGCATGTAGATTAGCACAGAGCCTTGAGGAAACTGAGGATCAATGAGCTTGATTGGGATATGATGGACAGGGTGTTATGAAGGGTTTATCTAGGGTTTCCTTCTCTTTTACACATATATGTGATTGAAATGTCTAATTTCTGTGATTCTTTGTCACTGCAAAACTTTATAGTTGCTGTAGGCAGTCCCTTAAGCACAGCGTATGTATGTGATGATCAGGCTGGCTATACGGTGGAGAATTCTTCAGTTTTTTTGAGAGCTTTCTCAACACTTGCATTGTTTAAAATACAGCTCATCAGAAGAGAAATACAGTTATGGGCTAGTGTGAATTCTGCTCTGTTTAATTTCCTCCAAACTGGAAAGCTTTAAAGGTAGTACCTACTGTGTGCCTTGAAAACATTAATGATGTCTCTTTAGGGGGGAGGTAAATGCTGTCTCCGTTTCACAGGAGAAGAAATTGAGTGTCTGTGACCTCTCCGCAGTGAAAGAAGCTATCTTTCTCGTAGGTAGGAATAGAGCCTTTGACTTCCCATTTTATAGGCTATCACTTGCACACTTGTAAGACTGTGTTTGGGGAAAAAAACCCCACCAAACCAAAGAAAAAAAAAACAAACACAAAAACCCCTCAACTCTTGAGAAGCATCTGTCATGCCATTTTCTTGCAGTGCATCATTTCTGTTAAAAGTTTGCATGTGAGCCGTCACAGGCAGGACGGACGTAGGAACAACCACAAAACCACGGGTGAAATGCAAAGGGTAAGCTTATTTTCCTTCCCTCGTGAACCGGGGAATCCTCAAAGCAGCACCTGGGCAGAGGCAGACAGGTGGGAACACAGGCACTGCAGAGCTGCGTCCTTGCTGGAGGATCACCGAACCTGCTGCTTTCACCTGAATTTCAAGGATTCACGCAGGTGTAGTTTCCCGCTGTGCTTTGATCTTTCCCACAGCAGGGCAGGAATCTCAAGCTTCTTTGACAGGGTGCCTCTAAGTCTATCACAGGCCTACATTATCTATACACACGTGTTCTACTTGTTTACCCTTGTGTGTTGGACAACAATTAGTATGTGTGTGTTCTTCTACACATCAGCGGTGTGTTGGACAACAATTAGTATGATGTGTGTGTTCTTCTACACATCAGCTGAAAGTCGCTTGGGCATGTTTACAATCCTCTCTGCCAATCTTACGTTATTTTCCCATAGTTTGTCAATTCCTAAGTACTTGAATTCATAAAGTAATTACAATCTTTTTCTTTGCAGCTCAGGCCAGTCAAATCCAACCTTTTATCTTCAGAAGGGTGGGCAGGCTTATGTGCTCAGGAAGAAGCCCCACGGCCCCATTTTACCTAGAGCTCACAAGGTAAGTAACATCCTTCAGCAAGCTCCAAACAGTTTGTACTGCAGGTGGCCTAGTCCTGTACGTGATGGCGTGGCACATTGTTGAATCTGTCTAGAAATACAGTGAGTTTCTTGGATCACTTCTGTTTTTCTGTGCTATACACGTAACTGAATATTAAGAGGATACATTGTCATTCACTGTACTCATTTATGTTTGGGAGCTTTTAACTGAACCTAAGTTTCTGTGTGTTTTTCAGGTTGATAGAGAATATCGTGTGCAGAAAGCCTTATTTTCAGCTGGATTTCCAGTGCCTGAGCCCCTGTTGTATTGCAGTGATGTTGCTGTCATTGGAACAGATTTTTATGTAATGCAGCATGTGCAGGTTAGCTGTTAGACATAATACAGTAATATTTTTTATTTCCTGGTACTTTCAAGCTTTGAAGATATCTGGATTGAGTGCTCTAATTCAGACTTTCATCTACTGAATATATCTGTTATTTTAATTCCCTTCCAGTATAAATCCTGTATACTAATGATTTCAGATTACTGTGAATCCATTCATCTGTCCTGGGCAAGAAGTAAAATACATGAGGAAAGAGAGGAGTGTTGGTTCTCTGCATTTATTTTGTGCTCCTGAACCATATAGCTTTGCTTCTCTTCATCTGATGTGTACATCCCACCAAACAGCTAATTTACCATGTTTCTAGGGTCGCATCTTCCGAGACCTCTCGCTGCCTGAAGTGGGCCCAGCAGAGCGTTCTGCCTTGTATATTGCAATGATGGAAACTTTGGCCCTGTTGCACTCCTTTGATCTACAGTCATTGGGTCTCCAAGGATACGGCAGAGGACCAGGGTACTGCAGAAGACAGGTACAGCTCTTCAAAAAAATTGTCTTCTTCTTTCAGGTCTCGGAAGATTTGTTTGATTTGCAAGCTGAATTATTAATTATTAATGACTTATAAAAGTAACTATCTTATTTTAGCTAGTAAACACCTTCACTTAGTTCAATTATTTGGGCACAGTATAAGGTGACTGCTACATTCAGATCAATTCTGTAATGCTATGCTCAGGGCATGGTATTAATTTGCTTTTGGAGTAATATTAAATATAGGCTATGTAAATGGGGTTGAAATAGAAAATAGAGGTAGTCTTCCATGCATCTTTTGATCTCCCAGTTCACAGTTGCAAATGCAAAGGTACTGGGTTTTCTTGAATTTGAAGGTAACACAGTAATAGTCAAAGCCCAGGAGCCTGTGCTTCAGAATTTCATGCTTTTGTAAAACCTGTGAATCAGTTGGAAAATCTGCTGGAGTGTTTTGTGTTTCTTTAGGTATCAACTTGGAAAAGACAGTATGATGCAACTGCAGTGAACAAGCTGGCTGAGTGGTTAGCAAACAACTTGCCACCTGATGATAGTGAAGAAAGCCTCATTCACGGGGACTTCAGAATAGATAACATCATCTTCCACCCAACAGAGGTATCTGAAACATGTTCAGTGGGTTTTGCCACTCCATTTGTTTGTAATCCCACAATGTGCTGAGGCACCTACCTGGGTGTTTTAGTGCGTGATACATGTTTGAAAGGGACAGTAGGGAGCTTAACTTTTCTCCACACTCTGTGTATGGCGTTGAAGTGCGTCATACCATCCTGGTTTTCCTTGCAGGAGCTAGTTACTCAATTTATTCATTAGCTCTAGTCCCTACTTCAAAGTCCAGGGACAAAACATTTTATATGCATAAATCCCATTGAATTCAGTCCAGCTTGGGGGCATACTGAAGGCTCACTTCATTACACTGTGTGGGTCTGACCCAAAGCCCCTTGAACTCTGTGGTGTGGCTTCAATTGGAACAGGGTCTGAATTCAGGATAGGAAATACTGGTGGAAGCAAAGAACGATCAGCCAAATCTGCTTAGTTACGGAGCACGCGTAGATCACGGAAAGCCTGAAAATTCCTCGTGCATCTTTAGGGAAAAGAAAGGTGGTTTTTTCTAGTTTGTGGAAATAACTGCGTGTTACCTGTCTATCGGCATAATTACCTTTTCATTAATTTTTTTCCGTGCTGCTTGCTGTGTTGTGACCAGAAGACATGTCTGGGATATGTGACCAGGACCCTGCAACGCCTGCTTCACAACAAAGCAACAGATCCCGGAGATTCCTACTGTTGTGCATAGATCAGTTGATAGACAGTGTTTGCAGGCTTAAATATGCTGATTGGCTCCCTCATCAGAGAATCTGGCAGTCTCAGGGACTCTCCCAGCTGGTGTAGCTGAAAGAATTGACCAAAGTGCCGATGGGTGATTTGAAATAATCTGTATGAACTGTTCCTGTGTACGCGGGAACGACCGTGTAGCAAAGTGTCTCGAGCATGGTTCAAGCAGCCATGGATCATGAGTAGGCTGGAGGAGTCGTTCAGGATGGCAGGCCAGCTTGATCGTAAGAACTCATCAGAGTGACAGTTTGGGTGTCTCCCCCCACCCAGCTGAAGACACCGTAGCGAGGGTGCTTGCAGCAGGGGCTCATGCCACTGACTAGGCGGTGATTGACTGTCCTGTTTAAGAAATTCAGTTCTCCATGTAAGTGCGATTCTCTGCATAATATTGTGATAAATCGGGTTTTTCAAATGCATGGTCTGTCCATGAGTATCTGTGCAAAAGGACTGTGCGACAGCATCTGTTCAACAAGACTGGAAACAACAAACCCAACTCTCAATACTACTGCTCATTAGGATATTTAATTTCAGTCATATTTTCATTAGAAGCGTTTGGAAGTTTCTGACAGAAAGAACCGTGTTCGAAACCAGATTTTACTTGGAAAAATGTCTCGTTTTTTGCCACCATGTGGATGTGAATTTTCTGCAGACCCTTACATAGTGCTGAGGGATCTGTGTTTGCTGTAGGCAGGTACAGTGCGTGTTTTTAATTTTAAACACCTAGCAACCGAATAAAGCTGTTGGGTAATAAGTGGGTTGTGCAGCTGTGGATGGAGAGAATTTATCTTCTAGCATTCACCTGAGGTTTTATTTTTGCTTAAGGCTCGTGTTTTGGCAGTGCTGGACTGGGAACTCTCAACTGCTGGCCATCCTCTAGCAGATTTGGCGTACACCACTCTGTTCTACTTCTGGCCTTTCTCTGTTAAGGACTTAAGTCGAGGAACTGTCCTGGATTTCAAAGGCACCGTGGGTATGAAACTAATCTTTTTGTTTAAATGAATCCTAGGGTGGATTTCTGTTTGGTACGTTAACTTTGTAAAAGTTAAGTTAATAAGCCCATCATTTTACACCCGAAAAGGACTTTTCTATTGTTTTCTTCATTGCAGGAAACATGCTGATGGTGAGGTTTAAGGTAGTCCTGTTCTAACAAGCTGTGGCTTAGCCACAGTATGGTGCTTCTGTCAAAGTTTATTTGGAACCTTTCTTAGAGATAATGGAAGAAAACTGAAATTTAAATGGAAATCTATAATTGATTTTAAAAAAATACCAAAACACACAAAAAACCCCAGGCAACAGCCCTGTCCTGGTGGTGAAAATTATTTCATAGAATCATAGAATGGTTTGGGTTGGAAGGGACCTTAAAGACCATTTAGTTCCAACCCCCCTGCCATGGACAGGGACACCTTCCACTGCCTGGAGTGGAGGTGAGGGGCAGTGGGAAGTGTTACGCTTATCTGGAATTCTGACAACTCCTATTTCCTTCTGGAACGGAAATCCATATCACACTTAGGTCATTAGAAATCATAAATCATATGTTTTTCACTGTGTAAATGGAATATCTCAAAAAGCTGTTCAAATGTTTGAAGGATAAGGTGGGAAAAATTATAAAAAGTGTTGACTCTTAAAGTATTCTGTCTTTTTTTGTAGAAACGCCTTCATTTGAAGAACTGGTTTCCATTTACTGTCGCTGTCGGGGTATTAGCACCACTTTATCCAACTTTAATTTTTTTCTTGCTTTGTCATGTTTTAAAATGGCAGCAATATGCCAGGTAATACGTTCTTTCAGTTTGCTGAAACTTGGATGATGAGCATGTGTAGCTGGCAATAGTTGTTCAAAATAAGAATAATATTTAAAAAACAACTGGCACCATAGTATTTTAGTTTGTTGCTTTAGAAGCAGTCCCTTAGGCTTACGACGGATAACTCTGAGATAGAATTCTCCCTCCATAAAGTACATTGTGTTAGGGAAGTAGGCTAAAACGGAAGAAACTGGGGCTATGTGGATTTTTCTTATTGATGTTCCAGTATGCAAGCAATTTTGTCGTTACTTTTTTGCACTGTCTGCCTAATTTAAATCCTGTATTACGGAGAAACAAAGATCTCTCTACATTTCTGCACCTCTCATGAAAGTAGGCAGCAGGACAGATAAGTAAGACCCTGTTGGTGCCACCCACAGACAAAGAAGGGTGTGTTGGGAACTCCGCTTGTTAGAGGCACAGGAGGCCAATCTTGAGATATGACTGTAGGGGAAAACAAGTTTCCTTGATTCATTGTTAACCGAAGTAACTGTTTAATTAGATAATTAGGCATTGTAGGGCGTAAGTATGTTTTAATGAGTTGCAGCATGAGATGAGCATACTGAATGTGGGATGAGCTTCTGGTATTAATTTGGAGTAAGAGTGCGTATGTGGGTAGTTAATTTAGCCGTGGGTAATAATCATAGGTGTTGCCAGTTGGGCAGGCTGGGCTGGCCTGCAGTATCATGTGCAGACATTTCTTTTTACTTCTTTTCTTGTTTTCCTCTGCTACTTTTTGTGATTTTAATTTTCATTTAGGTGGGTTATGTTTCTTTCCTCTTGTGCACCAAGCATCTCCATTATATCAGAAGCAGACCAAAACCATTATTAACATACCCCAGTAAAATCTGTCCGGGTGCTAATTATTTCCTATCGAGAATATGTGCATTTAAGTGTTACTCCCGTAGTTGAATAAATCACCGATCAATTAAAAGCAATTTTGAGCGCATAATCACCCCATATATGCCTTTCTTTTGGTTTTAGGGCGTATATGCTAGGCATCTCATTGGAAATGCTTCTGCAGAGAATAGCCATGAATTTGCCAAAATTGTGAAGCCGTTGGCAGAGAGAGGGTTAGAGCTCTCAAAAAGGTAAGAGTGGTCTAAACTGCCGGTCGAAGGCAAGGCAAAGCTTTTACAATGTCTTCACCTATTTAAATGCCTGCATAAGGCAGCTTAGGTTTTTCTGAGGCAAAATCTGGTCTGACTTAATTGTGTTGAATGTTCTTCTCCAGGTCATTTTTCAGCAGCACACATCACAGCATTTCTGGAGAGCTGTTCCATCAAAGTAGGAAAGGCCAAGAAGTTCTGCTGAAGGTCAAGGAGTTCATGAAGCAGCACGTATATCCAGCTGAGAAGGTAAAAGCTGTTAATAAACCTGTTTATAAATGAACACTTTACAACTAGAGTTTATAAAAATGAAATCTGTGTCTAGAAGTCTGTCCTCCTATTTGTTTTTTTCCAAATGGCCTTATTTTCAGGCAGTGCCAGTTGTGACATTGCAAAATATTAACAGAAGTCACTATAGTTTGCATTATTCCTGTTCAGAATGAAAATGTTGTATGCATTATAAATGAAAGATAAGAGTTACTTTTTAAAGTTTAAGAACTACTCTTTTAGAAAGAGTTACTTTCAAAGGCAGTTGCCAAAACACTTTTAACACTGACAAAAACGTACAACTCTTACATACTAAACAGAAAGACACTTAGTTAGAAAATGGAAACTGCCGGGTTTAGCCATAGAGAGTTTAATGTTTCTGTTTCCTGCCTTATTTCTTCAGGTGTGACTTCTATGACAAAAAGGGGATTCTATAGTGTATCAATGCAGCCTCATTCCTGAATATATGCAGTACCAGGAAAGGTTTGCAATCAGATAAGGAACTATCCACAGAAATATCCCTAATTAGTAGAAGGGGAAATGAGATGAAGCATTTTGCTGCTTAGCCTAGGGAGATTAGGAATTTTCCACTGAGAAAGGTGGTTCAACTTTTAACTTCGTGGAAGCACAGTTGACTTAGGTTGCAGAACTGGGATTTTTGTCTTTTTGATATCTTTTTTTTTTTTTTTTTTTTTCCAGTCAGGCAGAAGTGCAGAGAAGGTATTAACCCAAAAGATTTAGGAATGCATCTGCCTGTCACAAGGAGGGGTTGAGAGCAGGAACTCTTGAACCCAAAGTTTCTTACAAATCTGTCTGAAACTGGTTTGGGATTGTCCGAGGAAGCTTTGCAGTGATTCACGTACTTGCTTTAAAAACAAACCAACCACAAATAGCCATGCAAGTTTTGCAGATGAGTAGTGTTGTGTTGCAAGTTATTTCTGGTAAGAGGGATTGTGAATCAGGGCTTTAAATTCTACTTCTGAATTGGCCTTATTTTGTGATTTTCAGAAGAGGGCATTACTTTTATTCGTGCTGAAACCAGTTCTGGGCCTGCTTTGATGAAGTCCCATGCCTCACTAAAGCATGCTTGTGAAAATACAAGTATTACTGAATACACGGTGTTAATTAGTACTAATCACTGGTGCTCAGAATGACTGTTTACATAATCTGTAAAGGAATAATTTTGCCAGGAAAAGAAAATGTATTCTTTGTGGTTTTTTTCTCAGTTAGAAAAAGATGAACTGGCTTATATATCTGAACATTGTGATCTGAAGTGTCCGTACCTCAGGCGTTTATTTGTTGTTTACTTGTGGGTTCGTGCCTCTTGTGCGCACTGTTGGTAACAGTTACTTGTGTCATCAGAAAACACTGACCTTGTACCATCACGTGTTTTAAACCACGCCAAGGCCTTTCCCTGTATGAAATAAGGTACTGACTGGGGTCGTGTCTGTGATGCATTTGAAGTCTTGCAGAATTAATAGATTGCAGTTATATTTTAAATTTTATAATGCAACCAACTATATAATAAAAACCTCTGAGTATCTTTTTTTTGGTTCTTTGGGGTGTAGACCTGGAAAAGACGCCGTATTATTACTTGTGTATGTAACGTGTTCTTAGTTTAAACAGCATCTTTTTAATTGTTTTTCTAAGGAAATAATAAAATATTATGCTGAACATGGAAATACTGAGGAAAAATGGAAAAAACCACTGCTGCTTGAGAGACTGAAGGTATGGGATGGTAAATATTCTTGAGCCCTCTAGCAGTAAAAGAAACAGGCACTGACATGGAGCATAAGAAAGTTTGGTGTGTGTTGCTGGAGAAGTTTCTCTGCATGGAAAGAGGCAGTGTGAGGAACAGTAAAAGAAAAGGAAGAAGGAAGTGTGCGAAAGGACATGAGAGATGCGAGTGAGAGCGGAGGAAAGCAAAAGTGAGTTCCGTGAGGGGTATGCCTGAACTTTCAGTCAACGACTGTACCTGTTGAAAACAGCTATTGAAAAAAGGCTTCTGGTGTGTTAGGCAGGAAGGATGAAAATGGGCAGCAAGCCAGAATTTAATTACTTTTTTCAAGATTTATTGCTAATGTTTTTCCTCTGTTGATCCTTTCACCAGGAAATGGCCAAAGCAGAAGGTCTGTGGAACCTTTTCCTCCCAGATGTCAGTGGTCTCAGCCAGCTTGACTACGCGCTGATAGCCGAGGAGACGGGGAAATGCTTCTTTGCTCCTGAGGTTTTCAACTGTCACGCTCCAGGTTAGTAACCGTGTCCCGTAACTACAGCGCTGGGGGCACTGAAAAGTTGGGCACCTTACGCCTTACAAGTCGTGTGTCTCAAGAAGTAAACATCGACCAGTTGGAGCGAGTCCAGAGGAGGCAACGAAGATGCTCAGAGGGCTGGAGCACCTCTGCTATGGGGACAGGCTGAGAGAGTTGGGCTTGTTCAGCCTGGAGAAGAGAAGGCTCCGGGGAGACCTTATAGCACCTTCCAGTGCCTGAAGGGGCTACAAGGAAGCTGGGGGGGACTTTTTACAAGGGCCTGTAGTGACAGGACAAGGGGTAACGGGTTTAAATTGAAAGTGGGGAGGTTTAGATTGGATATCAGGAAGAAGTTCTTCCCAGAGAGGGTGGTGAGGCACTGGCACAGGTTGCCCAGAGAAGCTGTGGATGCCCCACCCCTGGAAGTGTTCAA